ATAATTTTCGCATTAAAAAAACACATCTGATATACAATAGATGTACTTACTCAATATATTTTCACCTGATGAATGATACATATATCAAGTATCATAACTAACAAAGCTCGTGTAGTAGGTACCATTCGTAGGATTGTAGAAAGTACATTCATTGGCATATTATGAGCATCCTACAAATATCAGTGAGTACATAATCAATTTGAGTATATGATCAGAAGTCCTCGCGTCAAAGTAAGTGATCAGGTTCCTCTTTATTGCTAAAAAGCAGATTTTACCTATCCATGAAATGTCATCCTACTAAAATCCAATTCAACCTTTTCTAGAAACATGAGTAGAAATCTCAAAACTGTAGGACAAACAATACCGAGTTTGATGATGTTGAGAGTGGACTGGTGGATTTCTGGTCTTTACATTTTATTCATTTTGGCATAGGTACTAAACATAGTATGAAAATCTATTTGCATCTGACTATGGTGTGGTCTGTCTCACACAAACACCACAAGTGCTATACAGAGTCACCACACTAACCCACGCTGTCCTCTCCTCTGCAAATAGTATGTAACGACACTACCATTAACACAAACACGGGTCACGGTCTGTGTTAAAATCTCGCCAAAAGAACGCCTCTGTGGGGAGCGAACTGCTCGGAGTAGATCTGTCAAAAAAGTAAGCCCCCTTAAGGAGAGAATCCTTGATATTTGGAAGAAAATGAGCACATGGGAGACACATGACATTCGGTGGAGGCGAGGTTTGTCAAACAGTTTGCTTTGAGCTCCGCGTAAAACTTTTGCAGCGTCTGATGTGTCGCGTGCTGCAGACAAGGCAGAGAGTAACACTGGCCCATCGTTTCCTCTGAGAACACCCGGGGCACTTCTTCTCACTCGGTGCTTCTCTTGTGTTGAAAAGTAAAAGCGGGGTTCCATTCAGCTCCACTGAAAAACACAGCGAGAGGAGACCAGTGAGGAAGAAGAGACATTGTCCGCCGGTGCCATTTCTTAGCACCTGACGGCATTCGTCGGTATCTGGTTCTGTTCAAGGATATTAACTGCGGCCCGTAGGCATTGCATCATGGGCCGCTGAAGGGAACAGCGAAAGTTTAACTCGCCGCTAAACAGATTAAACGAAACTAATCCTTCACTTCTCCGGATGGGTATCAGATGCAAACTGCATTGTTGTTTGCCCGAGAAACGAAATCGCTTGGCTCTAAAGTGCATGTTTATGGATAAGTATGACACACCATAAGAAATAGCTTGCTGGCTTGTGTTAGAGTTCTAAGTGTTAAGTTTCTCTTTGACGGTCCAGTTATCTCTTAACAGCAGGTGTTTATTGACAGATTTCAGGAAGAACATAATAAGTCAACTTTGCTGACAAAATAATAAACAGAACAGAGCAGAGCAATCCATTATAAACCATGCGCATTCTCACCTTTTTTGGCCTCACCCACGTTTTATTATTATCTTTAATGGCATGCAATCTTACTGAAACCCATATTATTGTTATAGATGTTAAGCTCCAATAAAGTGTCTTATATCATTTCATTGTTGGCATCTGTATAATGACTATAATAATACATAATTTGGAGGTATTTTATCTTCACCTGCACTGTCACATTTGCTCAGTACGGCCTCGCTGCACGTGAGCTGCACCCAGGCTGAGTTCCGTTTTCGATGTTTGTAAACAAGAAACTTAACAGCTCAGCTGGACCGACTTCCCTTACCGCTATATAAAGCCCGTGCCCTGCGACCTCAAACATTTCGCACTGACAACAGTGATACGGCTGGTTTGAAGATGAAAACCTGCTTATTTTGATCATTCTCCAATGCGGCTGCTGCAGCTCTGCATCAGGCACACCTTGCACCAACATTTTTAACGAGGCCGTCTTTTCTAAAAGTTTTTAAACTGACGACACTCGGAGTCCGCGCATCCCGTCGACATCCTCTGTCTCACAACTTGACAAAGAAGAGAACCAAAAAGCAAAGACAAAAATGCGACGGATCCAAACCAAGTGTAAATTATCACTTTACAAGGACAGTGTAACTACAAATGTGGATTTTGTTTCCACAGCTGCCAAAAACATCCTTTCGTTCTGCCCTCTGGATGAAGCCAAAAGGCGGGCTCACACTCTGAAGGAATCAGGTAGGCTGATTTTTAAATATTCAATCTATTCTGTTTGTGTGGTGTAAGACATGTTGTTTACAGTTTAAAACTAAATTGCTTCTTTAATTAGGCATGGAAAAGATTCAACTTCTCTGGAGGAGAGCCATTCCTGCACAATAAAGGAGATTTTCTGGGGGAATTAGTTCAGTACTGCAAACAGGACCTCCAGCTCCCAAGTGTCAGCATCGTCAGCAATGGAAAGCATGATCAAAGAAAAATGGTTCCAGAAATATGGTAAGGCTCCAAATTAGCTTCAACTTTGTAGGACAAATGCATCCTTCTTCTTTTATTACCATATTGATAGAGGGATATTTTTAGTTTGGCACAAATGCAAATTTTAAGCATTTTATGCATAAAAATGATGCTCTGTGTCCCACAGGTGAAGATCTGGACATCCTGGCCGTCTCCTGTGACAGCTTTGATGAAGCAACAAACCAGCTAATTGGCAGAACTCAGGGCAGAAAAAGCCACATTGACAACCTTCACAAGATTCGAAACTGGTGCCAGCAGTACAAAGTGGCATTCAAAATCAACTCCGTCATCAACACCTTCAACATAGATGAAGACATGACGGAGAACATCCTCCAGCTCAACCCAGTCCGCTGGAAGGTAATGACAGAAAGGGAGAGTGTGTAGTATGTTTGCTTAAATTACATTGTGACACATTAACAGTACTCACGCTGTCTGTTTTTCCTGCAATCAGGTGTTCCAGTGTCTGCTTATCGACGGGGAAAATGCAGGAGATGAAGCCTTGAGAGAGGCAGAGAGGTTTGTCATCAGCGAGGAGATGTTCCAGGAGTTTCTGGATAGACACAGCAGCGTCTCCTGCCTTGTTCCTGAGTCCAATGAGAAGGTATGAGATGAGATCATTATAAGTATGTGAACATATATTCATCTAAATAAGTTTACATGCCAAAACGTATTCACTAAATTTTTGGATAGGCATTGTGACCTTTGACACTTTGTCATATAAATCAGTAAATCAATTTTTGTATTCGCAAATGTTGTGTTATACAACCAAGTTAAATGTCAGCCATGTTCATTGGTGCACTGCCTGATGAAGCTGGAAAATGACTAGGACTAATATTGAGACTGTAACCATGTCAACAGTGTTATTAGCATGTGTTACCATGTCAAAAATAGATGCCAGGTCCAAGACAAACACAAATTAAAACGTGTGCTTTTCTTTGTCTTTACAGATGAGGAATTCCTACTTAATCCTCGATGAATATGTAAGTATTTTGTGATACTTATGGAGTAAAGCCTCCCTGTTGCCTTAAGTGTTTTATACATAACTTACCACATCCAATGAGTGTTTAAATGTGTAACCAATTGACTTTTTATCAAATTTCAGATGCGTTTCCTGGACTGTCGAGAGGGAAGGAAGGACCCGTCCAAGTCCATCCTGGATGTGGGTGTGAAGGAAGCCATTTGTTTTAGTGGCTTTGATGAAAAGATGTTTAAAGAGAGAGGAGGGAAATATGTGTGGAGCAAAGCCGACATGAAGCTGGAGTGGTGAAAACACTGCAACTCGAATTCGATTGCACAGACGATATTTATAATGTGTGTGTGTGTGTGTGTGTGTGTGTGTGTGTGTGTGTGTGTGTGTGTGTGTGTGTGTGTGTGTGTGTGTGTGTGTGTGTGTGTGTGTGTGTGTGTGTGTATTGTTATTTCTGTTTCTTACTTACATCACTGCTTTTGTTTTTGGAAAAAAAAAGTGTTATATTAAATAAAAGTTAATATGATTGCACATGGTTGTTTTATATATGTATATATAGATATATATAATGTTGCACTGTAGATAATTTTGTTGTAAAAATTACAAAATAAAAGGATTTTATCCAATGTTTTGTTGCAATTTATTTGGGTCAGCATGTGATCTCATAAAAAAGTAACTTTGTAGCCAACCCTGTAACTCACCTGATGGGACGGTGCCATTTTACGAAGGCTGAGCTCTTATGGAGTCGTAGGTTTGAATGCAACCTGCAGCCCTTTTCTACCTGTCAGACCCCTCTCTTCCCCTTTTCAGTATATCTGTCCTATCCCTGTATAACAGGCAAAAAATTACTTATTTTCAATATTATTTCAGTATAAAGGCATTAGATAAACAACAAAATGCTGATGTTAAAATAATATGACTTTTGGTTAAACAACTTCAATGTAACTTCATGTTGCACATGATGTCTGTCCTGACTTTTTATACCACTAACGTAGAACGAAACACCAGTCGCATTAGCTCTATGAATGGCATGTGAGTTCTTGTAAAGGGATTAATAATATGTTGTTATCTATAAATATAGACGAATGTTGTCTAAAATAAAATGTTCCTGTGAGATTAGACTTTAAATTTCACAAGAGTTTCACTCTAGTCGTGCAACTGAGAGCCTATGTACGTCATTGTATAGTGAATGAAATGAAACTCAACTGGACCTAATTTTGCATGAGGACTATCTCCAGACTCAAGGGCACATGGAGTTCAAGATAACATGATCAGAATCTGGTTTATTGGCAAGTAGGTAATAACCTATGGTAATAACGCACTAGGAATTCATTTTTGAAATACAAGTACACAAAACAAAAATAAGAGAAAATCAAATTAATTAAATAAAAAATAAAGTGTTGCAAAAACAAAGACGTTTAAAAATAGAAAAGGAGAAGAATTTGCATTCTATAAAAATATGTACCGTTTACCTTAAATGAAATAGCTTTGCAGCTTTATTTATTTGTATTTGTTTGTGTAAAAATTGTCCAAGGAACTTGCAAAGGTTCATAACAAGAATAATAAAGGTTACACTGTTTCACATTCAAATTCACCCAAAATACATTGTTTCAATAAACGTTTTTAGTTTGGTGGTTTTTAGTTTGTGAAGCTCACATTAAAAAATGAAACCAACAACTATATTCCAATCACCTGAATTGCATTAGTGTTGTATTGTTTATCTAGAAAAATAAATATCTGCAAACGTCACTGTTTACATGGATTCCACCACTAGAGGGAAGTATGGAAATGTGTTCATTTGAAACCGACCGATGACGGTGTTCGGGCAGCAGAGGGCGCTGTCGCTCATGTCTAGCTGGTCGGTACTGCTGAGCTCTCCGGTAAGCGGCAGCAGAGGGGAAGCCTCTCACGAACAAATGGCGTCCCTCCAGTGCGGAGCAGCTGATTTCCAACCGAGCACGGCAGCACGGACGGTGGGGAGGTAAACACACCGCCCCCGGATTTCTCTGCAACAAGATAGCCGCTTGCCCATTGCAGAATTCGTGTAGCAGAGCCGGCTGGACGTTGCGTTCTTCAGTAATCGAGATTAGACCGGTGTACAAACAACCCTGGTGTCAAGCAAAACAGATAGGCGAGTGTCAGCTGCAGCTTTAGCTTCCCCTCCGGTTTGCTTATTTATCTTTTCAGCCGATGGTTGTTGGTGTGAGCGTTTCACCAGGGCCTGGTCTCAGCCGCTGTAGGCGACAGTAGCAGGTCAAATGTTTCCACCCCGACGTTGGAGGGACACATAATGGACATGGGCATCACCCCTTCATATATATCCTCCACCGCCTCCTCTGCCTAACTGGTTGGTCGCTTCTTCCTTAATCCAGTTTAGGATATCAAATTCCAACCTTGTTGCTGAGGGTACACCATCGAGACGGCGTTATCTCAGAAAGCCAGGTAAGGTGTCCTGCTTTTATTCAATATACCGTTACACAGGTAGGTGCTGTAGCAGCCTGTGGTCTGGCTTCATTATAAACTGCTGGGTCGTTTCATTATTGTTCATCGACATTTCGTTTTTCACACCAATTTATGCTGTACTAATTTGGGGTATAGCCAACATACTGTAACGCTGTGAGTGTGCACCCTTTGTTGGTATATTTTGGAGTAAACCGATGTGGTGAAAAGATGACGAAGCACTGGCTGCAGGTAGATGCTTCTTAATGGTGTGTGTGTGTGTGTGTGTGTGTGTGTGTGTGTGTGTGTGTGTGTGTGTGTGTGTGTGTGTGTGTGTGTGTGTGTGTGTTGTTGATCAGAGTTGCAGTAGTTGTTGTTCTCCACAGCC